GTGGTGGTAGTAATTAGCAATAAGCATTTTTTTAATGGTTTATAAAACAAAAGAAAAATGAGGCCTGGCTGTGTTTAAATGATCACAGAATATTATCTTTCTAGTACTGTTTCTTGAAAGTAACAGCATATTTTAAAACTTTCTGGGAACTTAAGACCCATTTTTTTAAATGGTCAGGACAGTGGGGTTTATAGCTCGCTCCCTGTCCAGCCTAAAACCTTTGCATGTGGTTTGCTGTTCAGCTTTACAATCCAAATATTTCCCAATTATATTCCTTTGTGCAAGCTCAGCTAAGTCTTATTTTGACTTTGAAGGCTCATTGAAGTCAGTGATGTTTCATTTAATGCATTGTTCAGTGGTGAAATAGAGTTGCAGATTGTTCTGACACTTCAGGAGGTAATGTTACATGAATTATTTAGTGTTAAGTAAAGAATCCTGCTAAATTATTTTAAACTATTCAAGGTTAAAGTATTTTAAGATTTAGCTCTTCAAAAATATATTTTCAGCCCATAGATTAACCTTTTGCATTTTGAATCATAAGATGTCCTCTTTTAATTAAAACAGAACCCTTGAAGTTGACTGTTTAAATGTATAATAAAAAGGTTAAATTTTATATGTGCTCTTTATTTTTGAAAAGTTATTTCATTGTTTTCCCATATATATCTAAAACATGAAATCCTTTGAGGATCAGAACGGCATGACACTTGGTGTGTGGTGGCATCGGCTTTTAAAACGTTGCATTAGAGCTGAACAGAAACTGTGCCACATGACTGAGTCAGGCTGCAGAGGCTGCAAATAAATTCTTCAGATACAGTCAAGTGTCAGAACATGATCAGAATCAGCTACTGTTTGTAAAGACACACTTCTGGAATCAAACTGGAACCCTGAGGAATTTTCAAATTGTGAAGTAATGGGAAGAATCGTTTAATGTGGAAGGAAGGCGCGTACATGCCTCCCTCCTTGAAGGTGTCATAAGATTAAACTGTGGAGTGAGGTCAGGGCAACAGGGAAGCCTAACAGATGGATTACTGTTTGGAGAGGCCAAACCCCGGTGGCTGCATTGGGAGTGGGCCAAGGCTAGGCGCAAAGGTGTTCACAGGCAGACCGCCACTTAGCCATGTTTTTTCTCAAGGAGTTACACATGCTTCGTTCTAGCCTCTGGAAGCATTTCTGTCTGTCTCCATCACTTTTTTCTCTCTGAAGGTTCATTTGTTAGGCACTTGGAGACACCCTGTCAGCTTGGAGGAGTCGTTTCCACCCAGTCTTCTTGGAAGCATGAGCAGTCCCTCCCGCTTGCTTACCTGAAAGCGCCTGCCGTGGGGTAGTTTTTCACTTCACAGCAGCATGCTGTCGGTTGTCACAGCACCAACGCCCTGCCTCTCAGGACTGCAGCTCGTTACTTACAGATAAACGGTGTTTAAGGCTGGTCTTCCAGCAGAGCACACCTCCACTCGGCATCCGCAACCAACGCTTGCTGGGTGGTTGCCGAAGCCTGGTCCTGGCACAGCTGTAGCCTGGTGCAGACGTGGGAGATCAGCAGGGACTAGATCCCACAGGGACGTGCAGTCGTGGGGAGGAGCTTGTGTTTCCTCCAAGAACAGTTAAGAGGCCGCTGAAGGGCTGTGAGTCCCAGTGCATCTTCAGGTAGGCGTCCCCCTTCTGGACCTCTGGCCGGTGCTTCCTTCACGGTTCACAGAAAGTGTATTTGTCGCATGAAATGGAAAGTAACACTACATATGATTTATGGTTAGATATACAATAAGTTTCTGCAGACACTTGTAGAGTACTTTTCGCTTTATGAAAGAATCATTTTATGTATTAAAGGATAACTGGATTTATAAATAATTGGAAGAATTAAAATATTTATATTTCAATACAGAAATGACTGTACTGAATTTGGGGACCATAGTAAAAAACAAAACCTATAGTATTTATAGCTTTCAAATTAAAAAAGCAACTGGTAGATATCCATTATCTTCTGAGTGATTCAATGTTATATACCTAAAAATAGGCAGAAACAAATAGATAATTAACTTCTTCCAAGGAATTGAATAATAAGAATGTTATAAAAACAGGCGTCTTTTATACTGCAAGTTGTGCTTTTGAAGGAATTTTAAATGAAAATCATTTTTAGCTCCTAGTCTATTGAACCAAACTATTTAAAGTTCCATTCAAGTAAAGTAATATATGATATTGAACATGTATGGACTTTAAATAACCAACATTTTTATGACTTTCAAACTAACCTCCCAAGAAATGTTTTTTGTTTTTGTTTTTTTTTTAATTGGGGAATTGGGGGAGGGGAACAGCGTTGGGGAATTGAGGGAGGGGACCAGCCAAGTTGTTGTTCTTCAGTCTTTGTTGTGGAGGGCGCCAGTCGCCATCTGGCTTCCTGTCAGCAGCTCGTGGCCTCTAAGCTCAAGGTGCTGTGTTACAGTATTAGTTGCGGGTGGGCGTAGCCACCATCCCATGCGGGAGTTGAGCTCAGCAGCCTTGTTGTTAAGAGCGCGTGCTTTATCCACTGAGCCATCCGGGCGGCAGCTCAGCTCAAGGTGCCAAGTTCAGTCTTAGTTGCGGGCAGGCATAACCCACCATCAAACAAGCAGTCTTGTTGTTAGGAGCACGTGCTCTCACCAGCTGAGCCATCCTGCCCCCCATTGGCAGCTCAGCAACAGCTCAGCTCTGGTGCAGCGTCACTGGCCTGTGTGGGAATCGAACTGGCGGCCCTGTTGCTCAGAGCTCACACTCTTAAGCTGACTCTTAACCAACTGAGCCACTCGGCTGGCCCAGAAATGATCTTTTTTTAAGAAAACATACTTCTTTTCTGGTTATAAAAGTAATAGATGCTTACGACAATGTGGATGGATCTAGAGAATATTATGCTAAGTGAAACAAGTCAGACAGAGACAAATACCATGTGATCTCACTTATGTGGAATCTAAAGAACAAAATAAACAAACAAAACGGAAATAGACTCATAGATACAGAAAACAAACTGATGGTTGCCAGAAGGGAGAGGTGTTGGGGAGCTGGCTGAAAAAGGTAAAGGGATTAAGAAGTACAAATTAGGGGCCGGCCAAGTGGCACGATGGTTAAGAACTGGCTTGGGATGCCAGAGAGCCCCGGTTCGGATCCCACATATGAGGGCCAGTGACACTGCCCTCTACAGCTAAGATGCTGAACAACAGCTCAACCTGGAGCTGGGCTGCCGTGAGTCGCTGGCGACATCGTAGGCTGCAGCCCCTGTGGCAGTGGGTTGCCATGGGCTACCATGTGTAGCCAGCAGCCAGCGTGAGTGGCCAGCAGCCGCAATGAGCAGCCGTCCAGAAGCCGGCGACTGATATGCCTCGCCTGGGAAGAGCGCAACGATGGTGCCAACTTGGGCCAGTGAAGCAACGTCCTCCACAACTAGACTGAAAAACAAAATGACAGCAACTTGTCTGTTCCCCTTCCCCAATTCCCCAGCACTGTTCCCATCCCCCCAATTCCCCAATAAAAATATTTTTTTAAAAAAAGTACAAATTAGTAGTTACAAAATAGTCCTGGGGATGTATAGTACAGCATAGGGAATATAGTTAATAATATTGTAATAACTATGTATGGTGCCAGGTGGGTACTAGACTAATGGCGGGGAGCGGAGTCACTACATAAATTATATAAATGTCTAACCACTATGCTATACACCTGGAACTAATGTAAAATAATACTGAATGTCAACTGTAATTGGAAAACATAAATAATTTTTTAAAATAATAGATGCTTATTGCAGAAAATTTAGAAAACATACAGAAATCTTAAAATGCATTAGTTCTAATCTCTTCCTACCTTTCATGTTATTCTACTTTGTTTTTTTAAAACCACATTCTTTTTTTCTATTTATTAAGTAGGCAATTTTCTAACATGGTTCTCAATTTCTTTGCTATAAACATTATATCCCAGTAGGTCCTTTTGGGTTCATTTTCCTTCTTACTGAAATAAAATCCTTGAGTCGCTCTCTCAGTGAGCATCTATGAATGATAAACTTCTTTTTTTTGGTCCAAAAATAGTTTTATTTTACTCTTCAGTTATAATTTAGCTAGATATGGTTGGCGATTTCTTTGTTGTAGTGCTTTAAACATATTGTATTCTGATGTCTTGCTGATAAGAAGTCTAAAGGTACAGTGATACCTTTCGTTTCTTTAAAAATAGTCAACTTGGAAAGCTGCACTTTTTCTCCCTTAAAACGCCTTTAGATTTACTGTGTTGATATACCAAATGAATTCATCTGATTTTTAAAATAAGAAGTAAATGGTGGCGTGTAAGTTACTAAATACGGTAACATTTAGTCCAAAACAAAACCTAAGATTGCTACATGAGTATATAGGTACTAGTCAAGTACTATGTTTTGTAATATGCTGTACAAGGTGTCATATGTTTGTTTTATGGCTCTTTTTTCAAAGGTGGCATTGTGGGTTATATTTTAATTTAGAGGGAGCCCTGTCAGAGACTGGTGCTGTCCGATAGGAGTGTCTGTGTTGATGGGAATGTCCCACATGTGCGCTGTCCCGTGCAGCAGCCACCAGACCTGGGTGGTGCTGCGTTATCTTTTTATTTACTTTTGTCTAGTGACTAGAAGCTTTGAATTAATTAATTTTTGAATTTTGTATTAATAACTTTAATTAATTTTAGGCCATATACTTTAATTCATTTTGACGTTTTTTTTCCCCAGAAATTTAAAACTGATTAGCTTCTTTGTTTCAGTGAAGTTTTGATTGTACAACATTGGATTAGGAGAAGATTGTAGAATTACAATGAGATTGTATGTTTAGCTTGTGTTCTGGTGTCTACATTCTAGTCATGTATATATTTAGTGTGTTTTTATATTAAGGCTGGTATATCTTCTGAGGTTACTTTTTGTATATTAAGTATTAGTTGTTGAGTAAGAAGAATTGTAGGAATAAGTCTTCAGCCTTCACTCTAATAAACAAGCTGATTTGTTAATAATGCCTTCTCTTTTTCAGATTGCAAATAGAAGAATCTTCCAAACCTGTAAGGCTATCACAGCAACTCGACAAAGTTGTGACAACCAATTACAAACCCGTGGCTAATCATCAACACAATGTAAGTCCTTGTGTCTTTCTTCATCCTGTTATATCCTTATTCTTTTCTGTATCATAGACTCGGGTTGCATAGGACCTCAGCAGTCACACCACTCCGCTGTCAGGTGCTGGAGGTCCGCAGACTTAGCAAGGCACGTGACGATTTGCCACACCTGGGAAAGGTGTCACCCTGTAACCTAAGTTAGATGGCCGAGGAAGGCAAACACTGTTCACACTACTCCTGATAACTTTTCCAGAGCAATAAAACACTTCATTTTTCACTGTTGCTGATGTTTTAAATTACGGTATCCTTAATCAATATGAGTTTTACTTTTTTCCCCATTTTTCTATACTTTTATAACAGAGTTTTTAATGTTTTGACCAAAAAGTTTAAAGGCCATAGAAAAATGGGTATGTTTCCCGTTGATTATTAAGATCGCTTTGCATAGTTTCAGCTTTCACAGGCATTTTTACAGTCTTACCTACCATGCAAATTGAGGACGGCCTGTTTATGTTTTGAAAGCCTTATTAACGGAAGCATATCACATGCACTATATATAGTGTATTCCACAGTATGCGGTACACACATATATTGTACACATGTCGTGCGTGCTGGGTGCCGGGCACCGTTTTGAGCGCCTCCTAGACAGTGGCACGTCTACTCATCAGACCTGCCCTCCGAGGTAACCGCTGGCGTTGTCCTCATTGAGCAGATGGAGTCCCTGAGACACAGAGCGCTCACAGCCCGCCCCTGATGTGTGGGCGTGGCCCGCCCCTGACGTGTGGGCGCGGACCCAGGCAGCCTGGCGGAGGAGCCTTTCTCTGGATGAGCCAGCGAGCTCTGCTGCTGCAGGCGCTGGCAGTGCTGATAGGGCTCAGCTGGGGACCTTGAAGAACCTGTGATGTACAGAAAAATGGGCGACTCCCCAAAAAGAAAACGAGGCCCGAGTTAAGGCGCAGTGAACAGTTGCTGTCTTGTGTCTACTTGATTGCTTAAGATCCCCTGGATACGGAGTCTAGGAAGAATAAACCCTCCTTAAGACTGGCCTCAGTGTCCAGATCGTTAGAGGACACGGAGCAGTGCCAGCCAAACCACTGCTTTGTGATACTGGCGTTTCCTGCTGCTGTTCTATATGAGGGACGGCCGGGGCCTGCAGGGCCCTACAGGCATCCCCCCTGAGCAGAATGCTGGAACTTTCCAGGTGAAGCGGTGGGGCCATGGAGAGCTGGAGGGCACGTGCCCCTTCAGAGACATTCCGATTTAAAAAGTTGCTACGCTTCGTAGATTAGGGAAAACAGGCCAAAGTTAAGTTGCGTCCAACCAGGCTCTGATTTTACAGGCTCCGGTTATGCTTTAGGGAGGTGTCAACTCAAGCAGGGAACAGGCGAGACAGTGGAGACAGTGTCAGGTTATCCAAGAGGTGTTCCCTCTTTTCTGTTGACTGAGACAAGCAGATGAAAGTCTACTTTTGTGTCGCCTTCTGTCCTCATCTTTTCTGTAGTTTTCTGCAGCCAGGTGGAGATGGAGAAGGAGCTAGTCAGGCGTAATGGGCTTTGCCCTCCCTCCTCGGTGTGCTCCCCTGTACCCCCGACTGGGCTTTCTCACTCCACTTACAGGCCAGGCTTCTGTCTATAATCTCCACTCCCACGTGTTTTTATCAGTCAGGACGAGAAAGACCCCCCTTTCCATGAGCTATGCAGAGATGTAACCTTTGTGGAGAGAAGGTTGATAAGAAAGACAAGTGCCAGAAATGTGTATGCACGAGTGCTTCTCTCCATTCTTGAAACTGGAGACGATTGGAAACGTCCAAAAATAAAGATAAATACTTGAACAGGCGTTGTTTTTGGATGGTAGGGGTAGAGTGATTTCATCCTGATTTTCTTCTTTATAAAATCGTGTGAAAGCGTTGGAATTGTCACAGTGAGTACATAGTGTCTGAATTGGTACGGTGGGCAGTAAAGCTTTTCTGTGGGATGAGAAAGGGAGAAAGCTCTGGATTGTGTTAGTGCCTGGCTGTGACGGCATCCTGCCATTATCTAAGGTTTGTCTTCTCGCAACAACAAGTGTTTTTAAATGCCTGCTCATGCCTGAGATACCTACTCCTGTGAACCAAGGAGATACGATCCCAGTCTTAAAGGCATCATCACTTCTCGCAGTTCTCTGGTCGCGCCTTTTCAGAGCCCAGGTGGGTGGAACCTCTGTTTCCTTTGAAGGAGCGAGTCCACATTTCTGTACTGTAATCTTTTTCCTAAATTCCACTGTAGGGTCACTTGTTATAGTGCTACAGACCATAATTTCTCCTTGGTCAGTCAGGGCTGGCACTTTGCTAGTATCAAGCCTCTGACCGTTTTCAAGTTCATAGTCTTAGTGATGTTGGTGCTGTAACCACCTGGCTGGCAGGTACGGAAGATGGCTTCCAAATACCAAATTTTTAGGATGTTTGTGCATTGTTTTTACTAATAAAATAAGTATGGATATGTTGTGTTCTGAACTCCTTGTGAGGATATAAAATGTAACACCCACTTTAAAGACTCTTTTTGACATTAAGTGACGTTTCAGTTCATGGTATCTGCCTTTGTTTAAGTAAGCTTGTCATAGTGTGAATGAGTCATTATACTAATGTAATTATAGTAACGAGTCATACAGTAATTTTTTATTACGATTTTGTTTACATAAAAACAGACTATTACCTACCACATTGCATCATTTGAATGTTTAGTAATTTTTTTCCCATGGGGTGTATTAGAGTGGGTGGGCACACCTGCATAGCTTCTAAAAGCATATTTAGTATTACAGTATGATAGCAACCATAGGAAGAGTGTAAAAGTTTTATTGTTATCAGAGGGGATATTGGTTTTAAGATTGTGAAACATCGACATAGTTCAATAAGAATGATTTAGTGGTTGTGTAACCAAGACAGTCAATAAAAAATGTTAAACTCAGTATAATGTTGAAATGTTTTCCAAGCTTTGCCAGGTGAAACTATATAAACATGAGTCGTAGTATTTTATTTTAATAGTTGAGGTTCTTTGAATAAGTCCTCAGGATAAAAATAAGAAAAAAATTAGTGCAAAAGTGGAAGAGGGGGTGGAAAATGGTATGTGTATTTGTAAAACTATACGTCTACATTTAATCAGAAAGAAACCACTTGCATTGAACCCCAGAAACTTTTCACCCACCTATGGCACATAGAAAAACTTACACATATAAAGAAGCATCTCCAGATATTTGAATTCCCACTTTGTACATGGAGCTATTCTAAGCATTAAGTTTAAATCTATCTCTTTAGTTCACAAACTCTGGGATATAATACTTACATACTTGCCATTCGGAAAACATTTATTGGGCCAAAAACAGCTATACAGTTGCATTATCTCTTAAGTTACTTCTCCCTTGAATGCTTGGCCCTGAAAATTCACCCCTTACTAGGATATGACCTGTCAGGTTTCTCCCCTAGTGGCCTTTTCTCTACCTGAAACCTTCATTAAATTTTCTAAGGTATGTTTTTTGAAACCCTAATTTTGTGAGAGTCTCCTTGAAAAAAAAAAGAGTTGTGTAAAAGGGATTCTGTGTTCAAGGAACTCATAGGTTCCGATTATATTCCCCCTCTTCAGAATTGACGGCATTTAATATATTAACGTTGGTGGGCCGGCCGAGTGGCGCGATGGTTAAGAACTTGCTTGGGATGCCAGAGGGCCCCGGTTCGGATCCCACATATGAGGGCCAGTGAATATTGCCCTCCACAGCTAAGATGCTGAACAACAGCTCAACTTGGAGCTGGGCTGCCTGAGTTGCCGGTGACGGCGTAGGCTGCAGCCCATTTGGCAGTGGGTTGCCATGGGCTACCGTGTGTAGCCAGCAGCCAGCGTGAGCGGCCAGCAGCCGCAGTGAGCGGCCGTCCAGAAGCCGGCGACTGATGTGCCTCGCCCGGGAAGAGCGCGATGATGGTGCCAACTTGGGCCAGTGAAGCAACGTCCTCCACAACTAGACTGAAGAACAAAACGACAGCAACTTGTCTGTTCCCCTTCCCCCAATCTCCCAGCACTGTTCCCATCCCCCAATTCCCCAATAAAAAATCTTTTAAAAAATATATATTAACGTTGGGAACCTTTAGGAATTTGTTTAATCCTGCACTTCACAAGCATTTGAACATAAAATCCCCCTCCCCCGCCCTTTGAAGCAGTGAACAAAAACTTTGGGAAATAATGGGTTTTGTCTAAGTAGGATTTACGAGGGGGCCCTGGGGGCGGGGTGATATTGGGACTTGTGTTCATCTTGTTTTTCACCTAATAAAGGAAAGAAATGAAGGTTTATAAATATTTGCTGTGTGAGTTCACAAGCACTATGCAGTGCTTGTGCTAGTCAGTCATTTTTCAGAAGAATAGAAATTACACAACACAGAGGGGTTGACAGTGGTGCTTTCGGCAACTCACATTTACATTTCTTTTGGCTTTTTAGACTTGATGCTAAATACAGGAATTTACAGATTATAGCATCTGTTAACTAAACTCAATCTCAAAAAAATGAACAAATGGCTAAAAGATTCCTGCGAAGAAACTGTAAAGATAATACTAATAAAGCACATATGTGAACAAGAAAGTGGAAACGCTGACATTTCATTTACTTGTAACATGATCTCTTTATCAGTCACTGTATGAGGTAGAAATAGTGATGATGTAATCTGCCCTGACAGGAACTTGGCCCTTCCAAAAAGGAAATTATCAATATCATTTTAAATATGGCTTGTCATTCCCTGCCTTTAATGATGATTCATTTAGTGTCTCTCAGGGAAAGAAAAACAACTCTAGATATTTCAAGCAGAAAGGGCCTTGACGTAGGGAATTAGTTGCAATTGGTGTGCAGACACAAAATAGAAAGGCTGGAGTTGGAAGAGGGACAAGGGGCTTGTTACCAGAGATCAGGAAGCTGTTGCTATCCAAGGTGCTCCCACAAGCCCAAAAAAAAAAAAAGAAAGAAAGAAAGAAAGAAAAAACCCTCCCTTCCTCCTGCTCTCCCTCTCC